TAAAATGCTTTTATGTTTGGGAAAATTATATAGCTATGACAATTTCATAGTGGTTCCTTAAGCAGGGGTCATAGTGACGATGTCGGATAAAAAACTTATTTCCTTTAGTTTGGGGGTGGGGGGTGGGGGGGTTGACCTCAAAAAGTTTCCATCCTACAAAAACGATTTTATTTTTTAATGAAGTCAAAAAAATCTTGGAGTATTTGTAGTTCTATCCAATCATGGACAGAAATAACCGAAAAGGGAAAAAAAACAGAAAAATGGTTTGGTTCGAGTGTAAATCTGTGCGTCAAATGAGGTGCATTTGTAAACTCTCTTTACACCCACCCGACAACCAACTGCTATGCAATACTACTGTCCGATTATCAATTTGTATTTAATAGTGAATGTAGTCTGACGCCATGACCAATACATGTATTTATCAATTAAGTTTCAGTGGGGGGTAGGGGGGTTTGGAAAAAAACTAAAGGAATTAAGTTTTTTATCCGACATCGATCTTTTGACGTCGTCCCTAAGCAGGATCACTGTCATGAAAGACCTCACATCCAATTAGAAAATTCCTAGGAGCAAACATTTCATGCTTTTACAAATTTTGAAGGGCAGTTTAAAGTGTAAATTATTATTTCACTTAATTATCAACATTTTTCTTGGCTGTTTACAAATCAGTGAAAGTAAATTGAACATGATACAGATTCCTATTTTAAGTGGCACAAATAATGACAAAGATAATGGAAGAACAAGTCAATGACAAGTCATCGTCCATTTTTTAGTGACTATCAACATTAGTGCAAAATAATTATTTACACTCATGTGACAGACATGACACAAAGTAGACCCAGTTTATTTGTGTGATTCCATTCTTTATCCTTCCTAGGAAATTCATAATGCATTTTCAGCATAAAAATGCAAATGTGTTACATGATGCATGTGTAAAGTTTGAACATGATCAGTCCAGCCATGTTAGCAATACAACTCCAAAAATAGCATTCGTTAAAAACAAAATGGCCATCATGAACATACAAAGTTTGAATGAAATATGTCAATGCATGACCGAGATCCGGAATGATAAAAAGGCTTGATTTTAATGAATTACACTGAGACACTAAAAGGGCTGCCATTGGGCCATTTTGAATTTGAACATGAAACAAACGCATGTGCTTATGTATGATATGAAGTGTGATGTATTTGTAAAGTTTTAATGAAATCAGCCCAGGTTTGTCTAAGATACATGTGTGAATGGACGCACAGAGACGAAATTGCAAGTCAAATGACTAAAAAATTAAAAATAATTGAAATTGAGAAAGCTTTGCTTTGCGATTAAAAATAATTTTAGAGTAAGATACATGTATAAGACTGCATATATGAAAAAACCCCACAAAACTGTCACCATGGAAACAAGCTTGGTATTTTTTGTCATGTGATTGATATAACCTAATACACAGCAAATTATTTATATTTTGTAATGCAGCTTAGTTGTCTTGAGCTGTCCATTGAACTAACGAACCTTAACTTTAATCTATCCCATGACGCGAGTGAGCAGACAGCTTGGCTTGCAAAGATATTTTACAGACGAACAGACAAAAAGTGAATATGTTTCACTCATCAGAGTGCCTTTTGTATGGCACAGTTGATACAGCAGTACACAAGTAAAACAAACAATAAGAACTATCTGCTCCTGTATAGGCTCCTGTTAAATGCCATCATTTCTCCCGCTAAAATATTGGTGCGAAGATTTGCAGTTTCATGAAATTTTCTGTAATTTCCTTTTTAATTTGGATCTAATGAACATAGTTTTTTATTTGCTACAAGGTCTTGATCATAATTTGTGAAATTTCAGAAAACATTAAGTGGCTTTATTTTTGTGAAAATGCCAAAAATTGACCTTGGCAAAAGCAAACAGAAGCGACGAAAGCGTCAATTTCATCTTATTTTTTAGTTTAAATATACAGCACAAGAATAATATTACGGAGGTCTAATTTTAATACTAGTCTGTTACAGCTTAAAGCTGCTGGTGATTTGTGTAGAACTGAATATATTCTGTCTGTAATATCAATTTTACTAAGCTTGGCCATAGAAATGCCATGCCTAAAAACTTTCTAGAAAACAATAAAGGTTGCAATGATCTCTAAAAGTATGCAATTTATATATTTATAATAGGCCACAATGCTGGTGAAAATACTTTCTCACAATAGAGAATAGAGCGGAAAGCCAATAATGATATTAAAATCTTTCATGTGTGGCCTCAATAAATGGCACATATTACTTTGGTAAATTAATTATAAATGTGATGCAATCATTGCTATGGTTATGTGAGCAGTATCATAGTACCAGGACATATTAAACACTGACAAATTAGAACATATTAAAATAAAAAAATGCTCGTTCACTATTTTAGGTACTGTAAAATACTTTTATTTTAGCTGGGATTAATTTTCGCTGAAAAGACCTTTTGGGTGTTTTGTATAAAATTTATTTTCACTGATTTTTGAGTTGAATGTAAAATATAGAGAAAAAGGTATATTCACTATATTTTTTTTCACTGAATCATTCCTTCAGCAAAAATTAATTCCAAGCAAAAATAAAGTATTTCACAGTATCACAAAATAAATGTGAAGCATTTTTTCCCTCTGATTTTATTTTCACTGATTTAAAAAAAAAAATATCAAAATCTATAAGCTAGTTAGGAATTATGTCTATTTAGTCCAAAATTCTTGAAAATGTATAAAATATGAAAGAAACAATTTTAGTGTGAAAAATTATGGCATTCAATACTAGTAGTTTATAAATAATAAAATACATATACGTCATTTGTATGTTTTTTTAATCATCACACCACCATGTGTGCTTGATATATCTGTGGAAGGTTACTGAGCAAAATGGTACTCCGCAAACAGGAAACCAGTTTTAAGCCTCTTTGGCAATTGGCTCTGCATTCTGTCGACCTGGGAGTTATGTAGCAGATTGTGTATTCCTAACATTGTGCAGTGATCACATTAAATTATGTATTATTTTTATATAGCTTTTATTTTTTTATTAGGACTATAACATTTATTCCTTACTGTTTATATGTTTTTCTGATTTTTTAAATAATTATTTTTGTGTTTTTATATAATGAACATTTTCTCCAAAAAATCACTGTTTGCAATTCATATAATAAAATGTTTGATGGAGAAAGCAAAATTTTTTTGTCATAAATTTCAGTATAAGTAAATATACCCTAAAGTAAATAATCCACAAATGCTATTTTTTTATTATTATCAAAACAATATAGAAAGATTTTTATGGCCATAATGCAACTTTATATCTTTAAGATTCAGATTGTTTGCGAATCAGGAAAAATTCAATTCAACTTCTGTAAAATTGTTATGAAGCAATATGGCCTTCAATCAGCCATATTTATAAACAAGCAGCCTATCGGCTGAGATAGCTCCGCTGTTAGCAATGCACATTTCAATTAAAGAACCGAAGACATCATTAGAAAATGAACAATATGAATAGTATCAAAGCAATCGGACTTACAGTTTTTAACAAGAAGTCGAAAATATCACTTTTTACCAAAAATTACAAAAATATTCACCAAAATAAATTAATTAGAGAATTGAAGATATCATCACAAAATGAACAAATCTGAGAGAGTTCCACATGTAGTACCTATATATCAAAGCAATCGGACTTACAAGAAGTCGAAAATATCACTTTTTACCAAAAATGGCAAAAATATTCACGTGCGTCCACGCACAAGGAGGGCCAGTCATTAGCACGGGCTAAGGGGTAAGCTGCTATTTACGAACGAAAAATGGATGACACGCGCGAGGTTCTATTTCTGCTGCTGGCATGTTTCGTTCTAATTTTGAAGTGACGTGCACAGGAACGCGAGAGAAGACGGACCTAACTTATTTGGATGCACAGAAACAGTATACAACGGGCGTAACAGAATACATAGTTTTATTAATGCATGTCGCAGACAGCGAACCAAATTTATTTTGTCTACAATTGGAGCTGCTGTACGCTCTACTACAGCGACCCGATCAGTGTGGAAGCGAGCGCGGAGTAATGACTGGTGGAATAGAGTCGTTATACGAACATGGGACACATTTCACACCCAAAGGTCGCTGCAGAGGGCGCTTAGCCCTGGGCTAAGCGTTCGCGCATACTTCGTTAGCCCGTGCTAAGGGTCTTAAATTCGGATCAGATTTAACCCGTACTTAGCATTCCTTAGCCCGTGCTAAGCGTTCACACACGTTTTCTTAGCACGGGCTAAGGAATTTGACCTCTTAGCCCGTGCTAAGGAGCTGTGCGTGAACGCAACTACAGGCAAAGAATAAACATTAATGATACCACCGTTGTCAAATCAACAAGAGGCTCGAATCAGGAAGGCTCGGCTATTAAAAACTTCATAAATAACATTCTTTTCATGTGGTAGACTTTATTCAAGTGTAACAAATGTAAGTCATAATACTCATACCTTCGAAAGTTACGACTTTTACTCTTGGAATTGGTGATAAATACATGCATAAAATACAACATTGTTTCACGCAACAACAATTCGTATACAGCATTGGACTTATGGATTTTTATATTAATAAAATACGTGAGCCGATAATATTACCATATGCTTAGTATTTCCATGCCAGCAATGCTCGTAACCTGCTCGATTTAAAAACAGCTATTTGAAACAAAAACCAATGGAATCACAAAGGAAACTGTTAAGTACATATTTCACACCTTTCCTACGACCGTGGTTGCAACTGGTACCAGTGGTCAATGCGGTAGAGACCCCTAATAATTATAAGCAGTCCGCGGCTCTCCCCGGTGTACTGCGGAGAGCCGCGGTGATTACCGCAGTGAACCGCCCGTTTGATTTCCTACTCTTCCCTTATTCTGGTATGCACACCACACTTGTTCCTGAATTGTTTCTGAATGGTCATTCTGTTCCTCTGTTTTGAATTTCTAGGATGAATGTTTAACACACGTGACCGCAGCAGTGCACATCTAACATTACATACTTTGTAGATTATTTATGTTTAGTGCACTCCTGCAGCAGAATTCAAACAGCAATGCGTGATGGGATTTGTTGTAATGAAGACAATAAATATTTCAGTCAGTAAATGTCAATAATTTATGAACACTGTAAAATTCAGATTTGGTTTTTGGCCAAGTTACTTTCAGCTAAGCTAAGCTGACAATACAACTTATTAAGACATGTCAGAGTTTGAACATTCTATGATATTGTATTGCTGCTTATAAATTCTAGATATCAGTGTTAATAAATATAGAATTATGCATAATAAATATTGCTTCTTTTTATCTGTACTTTCATAATTGATGATGTAAATTGTAACAAGTTATGTCCTAGTTTCCTAACTATAAACACATATTCAAGCATTGACAATTTTCAATTATTGTTGTTATGAATTCAAATTTGTTAATAACTCTGTCACAAGTTGTATGCATTTGATTCAAACTGTAAAATAGAATG